GGTCCAAGAAATGCAAATTTATATTTTAGTAAAATCAAAACTGATCATAACAGAAAATGAAAGTAAACAAACTCAGTGCCAGAATAAGAAATAATGAAGAATCTTCTTATTGGTTATACATATGTATGCAGGTACATTTGTACATAAGTTTGTTTGCCTAAAACAAGTTCGTGACTTAAGTCTTTTGTTCTACGAAATGGTTGATGACTGGTAGGTTCGCATTCCGGTTATAAATTCATTAAAAACAGATAAAGCTGAATAAAAATAGCAAAAGGTAAACAGAAATATGAGTTATTTAAGAATATCAGTTAATTTTTAAAACAAATTTGAGTTGTTTACTTGTAAAGGAATTCCTAACTTCTTGACTCGCTCAAGAATATAGAAGCAATAAGCTAGTTATGCCATTTTTATTCCACAACTCGTGTAACATACAGCCATTTGGCGGATTTAATGAATTTACGAACGTCATATACTCAGAGGGGGCTGCACTCTGAAATATTCTGCGGTAATGACTTGCCGAGTATTTTTAGCCTCCTCCCGGTGAAAATTGGGTACTCGCAAAACCTCATCTAATAGTTGAGGTCTAACAGTGGCAGAAGAAAGTGCCTGAGTATCCTTGCCTTATCTATCTGAGAAGATATTCGCCGGTATACCTCACTGCCCCTTAATTGGAAACGTTTCGGCCTAGACAACGTCAAACAAAATGTTATAAAAATCCTTCGGGCGAGACCTGCCTGACCTTTGAATTCCGCTTAGTTTTTTTTACCTACGTAATCCTTACTAAGGGCTGCCCACCCGGCCAGCGCCCCTAAGATAGTATGGCTCGATCTGAGTAGTGTAGAAATCTTTATTTTAATCCACATCTAACATTCCCATTACTGCATAGAGAGCCACCGAGGCCTTCCTTGCATGAACGCTCTTTAACGTTGACTTCCAATAAAGTTCGGATTCTAGATTCTAGAACAGGGTACTTCTCTTGATTAACTGATTCAGTTCCGTTTATTGGTACCTTGTTTAGTGAAATGAGGTAATTTTGTTTTATTTATTCAAAGCATAGATGAGGTCAGTAAGTTCCTCAGGGTTTGCGCTAAGAGAAAAATTTTCCAGGAAACTAGAGCCCTTTTTATAATTTCTGTTATTACCGAAGGAAACTGACTCGATACTAGTATTGATTTGTTGTTTTTGTTGAGGAACGAAATTGCTAATTTCTTAATACATATTTTGAAAACTGAAACCACCAAATTCGTCGATTAAAATCTTAATTCTGTATGTTTTATAAGTTACCGATCTCAAAGCAACGCTATATGAAGCAAAAACTTGACTTGGCTACGAAAATATTAGATGATTTAAAGCTTATTCTATTCAGTATTAATATAATTTCTATTGCAACCAAATTGTTGTTGTAAAAAAATTTTTGCCGATACTAAAACGAAAACCCCTCTTTTTTTTTTGTTCAGCACGGAAAAAAATAGAGCTTTAGGATTTCTCCAGATTTTTGTTTTGCCCGAAAGATGCACATATGGAAATTGAGAATCTGTTTAATTTGAGAAAATCTTAACAGGTTCAGTTATTTATTTTTTATAAAAAAATACAAAGAAAGTCTACAGTTAAAGCCTTCTGAATCAGGATTGATTAGAGACCAGGTGAAGTCATCAGCGCCCAAAACCAATATTTCAAATATTTTCTTATTAACAGATTTTTAATTCCTTAGAAAAAGTAAAGCGAAAAATTATTATTTTGAAATGAACTATTAGAATATAGGTGTACGAATGCACCTGAAATCAATCAAATAAAAAATCTGTAGAGTATTATTGTTATTTATGGACAACTAACATTTTTTTTTAATAATTTTTTTATGAGCTTGAGAAAATTTTTATGTAAAAAATTCTCATAACCAAAGCTGACTGCTTTTTGCAGAATAAATTTTTGAATAATAATAGGGCATATCTTCTTAACGCGTAAATACCTCGTAAACTTACTTCAGTTTGTGTGGAAATTCCGTTTATTTAAGACGTTTACGCGGTTGCGAGGTATTTACGCATTTCAATGAATACCCATAGTGTGAAAGGAAATTATTGAAAATAAAATTATCAGTTAAATAGTTCATATTTTGCCTGATCGAAGCGTTTTGTTTTTAAATGTATAAAACTTTATAAAACTAAATTTTTTTTATTAAAATAAAACCATGATTTTATAAGACAGATAAGTATAAATTATATTTAAATCGAATGATTTGCGAATTTCCACGACTTTTGAAAACATAGTAGTTTCGTGAAAAATTCAACAAACACCTCGAGTTTCATATGTAGCTCTACTGAAGGGCCATAGAATATCCAAATGCCCTGGGCACGCAATAGGCGGCTGAGCGGCGGGTGGCTCATTTCTAAACGGCATTTCTGAGCAGCTAATTATTCTTGATCTTAATTTTAATCTACATCTAAATATTATTCTTACTTTTAATCTTATCTTTAATCCCAATCTTAATCTCAATCTTAATTTAAATTTTATTTTCAACGTTAATCGTAATCTTAGTTTTAATCCTAATCTCAATCTTAAAGTCTAAATCTTAATCTTAATCTGATTCTAACCTAACCACCGCCGCCATCCCCACCCTTCCTCTGCCGCTTTTTCGTTTCATTGGGGTTTGAAATTAGCCCCCAACGATCATTTCCCTTTTTTCGCTACATCGATGTTTGCATTTACACCCAACCAAGTGCAAAGAATTTTCACTTCAAATGAATGATGAGTTTTCATCATTCATTTATTGTGGGACTCCATTGGAGTGGGCGTGTCCTAGCTGCCGTAGGCTGCTGTGGAATAACTTGAAATATATCCAGGGTGTGGGTAGGCGTGATTGGCCATTGGCTATCATAAATCTACCACCCCTACAGAGCCCCTCTCTTATCAAAATTTCAGACCTTTTAATCAGAATCTTTTAGACAATTTTAGGCGAAAGTTTCAAGAACCGTAGCACCGAGACCAAAAAAATTATCAAAACTCAACACGAACTCTTAGCTGCTTGAAATTCGCACTTTAATGTACACCATTTAATACATACTAAAAATTTTCCTAAAAATTCTGATTTCAAAGTTATAATATTCCGTGAAGGCTTACGGTTTGTTTTTTTAATTTCTATACAAAGTTTTAAATGTGGATTAAATCTATGCCGCTAGAGTTTTAAAACATTTTGATTATAATTTTTTTACTACTTTCTTATTCGCCCTCGTCCAAAAAAGAAAAAAGTTACAAAGCCAAAATGATGCCTTATTGATTATATAATTTTTTGATATTGAGTGGTTTTAATATAGCGTAGAAAGAAGAAAGGGCAAGGAAAACTCGTTAAAAAAGACAAAGTCAGTATTCGTATTACAACTAAGTAAAGGAGAAAATAAATTGCATCATAAAAAAACCACCCGATGAGGTTTAAAAAGTGTAGAATTGTAAAAAACCAAGTTGGCGATTGCATAAAACAACGCTATAGGCATCTGCAATAATAACATAGATACAGTAACAGAGGTTAAGGCAGCAGCGAATTTGGGGCATGCGCACTGTTGTTCAATTTAACGGTTTAGCACTTTTTAATAGCACAGCAACAAAAAGTTGAAAAAATTATACCAGGGGAGCCAAAAAAACTTAAGGTAAAATAAATAATAAAAAGTAACTGAATTTCAAAAAAAAAAACGAGCAAATTCGTTCTATCAAAAGCATTTCAAATCTATGAGTGTATATGAAGCAAACTGTGTAAAATAAAACCAAAGTAGAGCTGCTCTACTTAAGTTGACGACTAGCGGAGGGGTCTAGCAATCAGGAAAACACGCAAAAAACAAACAGTGAAATATATTTAGATATATAAATAAAAGCCAGAAATCAACCACAAATAAAGAAAATAATACAAAAAATGTTTACCGTTTAGAAACCAACAATTTAATGCAGCAACAACAGCAATAACCCTCAATTGTTGTGTCGCACCTTCTACAATTACACTTTTTACTTTTTTTTCTTTGTTTGCTTCATTGCTATGTTGGCACTCTCTTTAACTCGAGCATTTAATTTAAACTTTTTCTTTTCGATGTATTTTGAAACCAAAAAATTTGCAGCAATTCTTGCTTGACTCTTGGCGTGTGTCAGCGGCCATTGTTTTTTTTTTGTTTTTGTATGTACGAGTAGCACGAATGTTTATTGTAGAAAAGCAAAATAGTGCAGAAAACACACTGCGCAGTTAAAAAAAAAAGAGGACAAAAGTATTCGAATTGCAAATTGCAGTGCTATGCCGTCAATGTAAATAAACCAAGTACACAAACTAATAACGAACAAGTCGCAAGTTTTTGTTGCTGTCTGGCTAAACTAAAACTATGTGCATACGTAAGCAACAATTTGACAGCGCTGCCAAGTGACTAAGCTAAGCTGTGATCAAGATTTTGTCACGCCAAAAAAAAAATAGTATTTGCAAAGCATAGAGAAAAGGGACTTAAACAAAAAGCGAATAATATGAAAAACTCAAAAGAAAAAGTGTAAAGCGGGAAACTAAAACAAAAGACAATAACAGAAGGAAAACGAAGATACGACATAAAATTTCTTACCACAAGCAATTTTCAAAAAAAAAAATTAAAAAAAAAATTTACTACAACTCTACAAAATTATCTGCAAACTTGAGCGCAAATTCCATTCATTTGCCAACAAATAAACATACAATTGCTAGAGGGCTTGTGAAAATTTCAAAATAAAAAAAAACCTCCCAAACTGCTGCAAAAAAAAATGCTTGCGAAAGTTATTGTCATGTGAAGTGAAATCTAAATAACGTATAGCAAATAATGTATAAAAGTGTAACAAAAGGTTGAGTGCAAAAATTGACAAATAAACACAAAAACGAGAAAAAGCCAAAAAAAAACCTGCAAGAAAAACAAAAACTAAAAACCAGAAAACCCAACCAAAACAACATCAAATCACGTGCCGCCGCCTCTACACCAATGCCCGCTCCCTTAGTCACCGCTGCTGCTGCTGCTGCTGCCTGCTAAACTACTTAGCTGATCGCGCGCACGTGCCTTCTTCACTCAATCGTTCGTCGCTTCGTTTGGTTTTTTGACTTTATCTTCGCTGTGGCCGCTGCTGCTGTCTTGCATGCAGGTGCTGTTTTTTTTTGAGTTTTTTATTGGATTTTTAGGCAATACGACAAAAAAAAAAAAACAAATAGTAAACAAAAAAATAGAAGCACAACAGTTACTGCAGCAATAAGAAGCGCCGCATAGTAAAGTGCAGGTGAGTTCAAGTTTGTTGCTTAAGTCTTTCGTTGTATATTGGACTAACAACATTAAGTGAGGCAGCGCGAACGGGGTCGAAAGATATGTATGTTTAAATCTTTATTAATGAAATATATAGATATTTCTATGGCAATTTGTCATCTGCATTTATTTTGTGTAGACATATTTATTGATAAATATCATTAATGTACGTAGCATATCAGGTTGAGTGAATTTGTATGGCTTGAATAATTTATTAGAGATTTTTATACTAATTTTTTATAGAAAATATTAAAAAAGAGGCGAATAGAGCAGAGGTTGTTATCCGTTGTAAAAGCAAATATTTGGCGCTTACCTATACAGCTACGTGTGTTGCCATGTTTATCCTCTTTTCTGTATTGCGCGACTTGATGTTTTTTTTTTTTAAATGAAGGGACCTAAAGTTTAGTACCGCAAAATTGTTTTTTATGAAAAGCTTGTCCATCATAGAAAGGCACGCTTTTAGAGATTTTTTTTAAATTTATTTATGTGCAGGGACCAGAATTGAACCTTGTACCGAAACAGTTGCAATACCCACCTCTAGTCACTCTACTATTGCAGCCACCTTTATAACAAGTATTTGATAATATTTTTATTTCATATCGTTCGGACTGAGATATACATACAAACATACGTGTTCCAACCAATTGTTGCTGATGGCATCTGCCATGACTTTCGTAACCTAAGTAAAAATATTCAATTTAGTTTTAACTCGTCTAGTTTTGCCATTCTAAGAAACAAATTATAATATTGTTTATTTCCTCAAAAGTCAGAATTTCCCACGATGTGTCGGTTAGACTTCCTGTCAACCTCTCCACACGCTTCTCTGGCCGATATCGGCCCAAAATCAAAGATTTCAGACTTTTTTTGCCGACGAGTCTGACGGATATCTAACAGATTTCTGGCAATTTTGCCAGTTGGGTATCTGGAATCTGAAATGTTTACCATTTGTAAAAAAGTATTAAATATTACTAAAATAAAGTACTAAATTTTTTTAAATATAAAATGTATCCCGGACTCACTTCACTTTCTATTCAGTACAGAAGTACACTGCTAATTTTTTTTTAAATTTCTGCTCTTCGGTTTTTTTGATAATGGAATCAAGGTGAATCCTCTTATTATATTAGTAGCGATGGGTCTTTTAAAATGTTTGGAAAATGTAAAATTTATCGAGTATAATTATGCTCCTATACATTCCTCCATCATATATATATGTAGCTAATTAAAAGGTTAGTTCTATAAAAAAAAAATTAAGTACGATTTTTCCGACCATGTGCATAAAATACAAAATAACCTTTTACATTAAAGGTTATTTATTTCTTTTAAATCATGAATATAATTACCATATTCAGCAAAAAAA